TATGCTAGATGTGTTTTTGCTGTTGGCCTTCCTGGGAGGCGTCTTGGAGGCTTCTTGCAGTGTCTTCGCGGTTTCTAGGGCGTTTTGGATGATCATTCGGCGAGTCTGGGCTCTCTTGGACCGTTTTGGAGGTGACTTGGGAGGCTTGACGGGGTGTCTTGGAGCTCCAGGCCGAGCCTGCGGAGCCCGGACCGCCCCTGATGAGCTCGGGGGTGGGCCGTCCGCTGGTGTGTGTGTGTTTGTGTGGGGGATTTCCGGTTTGGGGTTCCCTTGGGGGGGGCGTTATGGCGGGGAAGAATCTCACACACCTATACACCCACAAAGTGTCGGCGGATGTAATTTCGCAGATCAAGTGGCAGATGCCACCACTATGATTCAGCGCACAACAAAATCAAACAGTGAAGATTCTTGGTTTACCCCGATCACATTTCAGGGGCAATTGCAATACACCTTATCCGAAGTACGGCAAGATTGGGAGCAAACCAGCGGCATTGATACCACCATCAGGACACCATCTCAAGGGCCAACATCATCGAGCAGCGATGTTAGTAGATGCGTGCATGCGCGGAGGGCATGTAGGTTTGTTTCTCTTCGTGCCAAAAGCCAGAACCGCGAGGGGAAATGGTGGCCCTCGCAGTTCGGGAACGACCGCTTGGGCTTCAGCTCTGCACTGTCGGCACGCCCTTGAGCCATGGGTTGCAGCAGCTGGAGCTTTTACCAACGACGTAGGTTTCTTCGGTGGCGTATCTGCTAGACGACGGTCCCTTCGCATTATGAGTGGGGCGGCAGCATCACCCACGGAGGTTTTCATGGCCAGACGTTCCAACGAGAACCAGAAGCCAACACGTCTCATGCGCATGCTGGCTGACAAATACGCGCCGCACGCTGTCCGCGAAGTCGTGGGCGAAGTTGTTGAACTTCTCGCTGCGCAGTCCCGCTGGTCACGCGGGAGGCCGGCACGCGCGACACCAGCCTCATCAGATGGGACATCGTTGCTGTGCGCCGCAGCGGGTTCGACAAGGCCGCCACCAACCGGGCCTTCGGTCGGCCCCTTTCGGTAGTTTTTTTTCTTCGCCGTTGTGTATATATATGTATATATTCAACACGCGTTGGAGCCCATGGCTTCCATTCTTCTAGCCAGGTGGAGGATAGTTCGCCATGTGAAATACATGATGGCCATGCAGCTACAGGGCGCGCAGGCGTCGCAAGGAACATGCTTGACGCGAGCGGTTGGTGAACGGGCGCGCCATCATCCTCATTGTGGGATCAACCAGTAGCCCGATATCCTCGTCGCCTCCTCGACACTCGCTCGCTCGCTAACGAAACGGGGGGGAAAGGGACACATGTTTGGCGTCATGGCCGCGACGTGGACGTCGGATCTCGGGCCGCAGCTGCAGCATGAAACTCTCGTCGCTGGTGAGGATATTGATTTTTACCGCCAGCGCGGGGCCGCTGACGCGGGCACTGTTATCGTGGATGCCGACAGCTGCAACATCACGGCGGAACACGCGCGCCGCGTGGCCCTTCGTTGCGTGAGTTTGCCGCCTGCAGCGCCCAAGGTCAGGGCGCCGCCCCGGCACGTCGATGGGCCATTTCAACGTCCGCGAGGGGGTTTCATCCACGACCTGGCCTCGCTCACGTTCGCTCAGCGCGCACCTGCCAACCATCGGGGGGGGGGGTGTCTTGAAATCTCAGTTCGACGTGACGCAGGACCTACAACCGGACTTTGCGCTTCACCGCAGCAGGCATCACTTCGCGGCGCCAGCGAATGACTGGACCTCCGCCGGCAATCCCGGACACACTCTCATCGGGGCACGCGCCCACCTCTCGGTGGCAGCGGACCTTGTGGAGGCGTTTCTCATGAGCCTGTTTCATTGTTACTGTTTGGGGTATGACGGGCGTCATGGCCCCCGCCCCCCCCTTTGACGTAACGTTCCCCCCCAGTGCGCTCCGGGCAGTGCCGCCGTGCGCATTGGGATCCGCGTAGGTGTCCGCATAGGAGTTTGGTCCGCAGTCGTCGTCGTCGTCGTCGTCGTCGTCGTGGCTCGTCGCTCGTCGCTCGTCGCACGTCGCTCATCGTCGTCGTGCGCGAGGACGCGGCTGGAGCCTGTTTTTTATTCCGGGCCGATGACGGCAATGATTTGGTGGGGGGCGGACGCGATAGGTGACGTCATGTTTCGCGCCGGCGGCGTCTGGGAATGCCCAGGAATGATGGACGACGGGTAACACCAGCATGTCGGTGGCGATATGCACTACAACGCCTGTGTAAACCACAGTGCTTATGTACACCACAGCGCTTGTGTACACCACACCGCCGATGTACAGCACAGCAGCCGCGTGCAACACAGCGCACGTTCGTGCCACCGTGCTTGCTGGCACAACACTTTTTGTGTACACCACAACGCCTCCGTACACCACATCAGCCGTGTGCGACACAGCGCAATTATACACCACAATTTTTGCGTGCACTGCAGTGCCTGTGTACACGACGCCTGTGTGCACCACAGCAACCGTGTGCAACATAACACCATCCTTGTCTTGTACATATATATATATGTGTAAATATAGAGAGAGAGGGAGAGAGAAAGAGGGAGAGATACATAACATGCTGGCATAAGTTTTTGTGGCAAAATGGAGCGATTGCGGATTCCAGGGGATACAATAGAGATACATTCCTATGGACAAAGGAGCGCCGCTGGAATCGACGAGTCTTCCCGAATCCGCCCTCATCACCTTAACTCCTCCAGTTTGCGTCCAGGAGCCTCCAGCTAAATAGGCCGCCCGACAACCAAGTGGACCGATTCAATCGACCATTCTGCGGTGCACGCTGACATGCGCACTTGCGCTGTAGCGCCAACCCGCGCGACACGGGGTAACGAGGAGGAGGAGGAAGAGGAGGAGGAGGAGGAGGAGGGGAAGGAGGAGGAGGAGGAGGTAGTGGAGGTGGAGGAGGATGGAGGACGGCAGAACGTCGCATTCGATTATCGGCATTTTCCTGTCGTGGCGTCTTGTTGTCCGCAGCGGATCCTCACGTACATGTTCTTTCTACGTGTCCTATGCACGCAGGCTTTGTGGTGTACACCAGCCTTGCGTTGCACGCGGCTTTTGTGGTGTAGACAGGCGCCGTGGCGTGCACAGGCGCCGCGGTGCACGCCAGCTTTGGTGCACACAGGTGCTGTGTTGCACATGGTTGCTGCGGTGTACACATTTACACGGGCGCTGTGGTCTACGCAAGCACTGATGTTCACAGGCGCTGTGTTCCACACGGTTGTTGCGGTGTACGCAGGCGTTGTGCTGTGCACGCGCGCTGTGGTGCACGCGGGCGCCGTGGTGTTTACAGGCGCATGGGGCAGATCGCCACCTACATGCTGGTTGCGTCGTCGTCGTCGGTCGTCGCTCGTCGCGTCGTGCGCGCGGTCGCGGTTGTGGTGCCGGAGCCACACGGCGGGGGGGGGCGTTACGTCATACCACCCCCCCGCCCTCCCCTCCTCCATGACGCCCGTCATCGCCGAGCATAAAGAATCGCGCTCCAGCTGACCCAGCCATCATTAATGATCTCGCTTATTATTTTCCGCGTCAAGCAGCCGGTGGACGCGGGCGACCAGCGCGTCCCAGGCAGCATTTTGTCGGACGGACCACGCCGCGGCATCTGAGGCGCGCCCATAGACGCAGGCGGAGGTCAGAGGCCCCCCCGCGGTCATTCAAGGGAAACGCGTGCCGTAGTCCACGGACGAGGCGGCTGTGCAGATTTGGGACGAACAAACCCGCACTGGGCTGGTCGCTCGCGGGCTCGCGGGGGAATCAAGTTAATTTTCCGTGGCGCATGGTGCGCAGCATGGTTTTCGCACGCATGCGGCGCATATGCTCGCGTTAGTCGCTGAAACTAGACAGCGTTCGCTGCCTCCCGCACCGACAGAGCGCGCCATCCTGATGCTGGCAGATATTTTCGGACAAGTGATCCGTTCCCCCCTGTTGGGCGAACGCCGCCCCCCAGATGTGTGCGGCCCGAGTCGCCCACGCTGCGCCTCGCGAAGGGTGTCTTCAAGCCTTCCAGGGCCCTCTCGTCGCGTTCGTGCCGCGCCCCCATGCGCGTCCATGCGTTTTAGGAAGTGCGACGTCGAGGCGCTCCCTGTCCTGATTTGTGTTGCCCAGGTCCACTCTTGTGTTTGGCGCCGCCACTGCGCGGCGCTGTTTTGCGCGCGCCATCGCGAATTTGGCAGCAAAGCTTGACGAGTGGAACGAACCGAAACTGCCGACGTTTCTCATGGCCCGGTGGGCCCGCGGTAGACAGGATTGCCGCCATATGGAAACAGACGAACACGGGCGTTTCCCCAGACTTCCCGCGGCGCGTGCTTGCGACGCCGGCGCGTGCTCGCGACAAATGTCGTTTTGCGCGCTGCCTTCCTCGCGGCAATGGGCGACGCCGCTGCGGCTGGCGGAAAAACCCAAGGTTCAAGTGCTATTCATTCATTTATCTGGCCAGATTTCTCTTTTGGGGGGTCGCCATCGTTTGGCGCATCCGAGCACGGCGGTCCGCGCCATTGTTAATTGGTCGGGGCGCGGGGGACGGGGGCCAGCGAATGGCGTCCCGTGGTCGCTTTTGCAGCGAAGAGTTGTCGAACACTCTGGCAGCCAGCGGGCCTTGTTCAAGACCGCTGCGGAAAATGTAGGCCGCAATCTACAGAATTCAAAATTCTGGCGTTGTCAGATGTTTCCCCTGCTGTCAGCAACGAGATTCAATTTCGCACTACATCAGATGTCTTGTCTTCCACTACTTCTTCCGGGTCCCCCCGGTCCGCCCAGCGTGTTTGGCGTTGTTGCCGGTGGCGAAAATATTGCACGGATTGCCCCCGTTCCGGCGTTTTTGCGATGCGCTCGCGCGCCCTGGTATTCCGCGCATGTCTAGCGTCCAAGCCTGCGGCGGCCGGGGCGAGTGTTTGGACGCGCAGCATCGCTCAGCACTCGCCGCCGCTTTGCGCGCAATTGACTGGTAGGCTTGGATGGGCTGCTGCGCCATCAGCTACGGTCGATGTCCTTCGCCCCCGTCCTTACTTTGTGACCCCACGAGGGGGGACTTCAGGAATGGCCCGTTCCCAGAAGCTTGGGGTCCTTCAATGGTCGGCGCGCTTCCGCGCGGCGCAGGCATTCGCAAGTCTCGGTTTGCCGTCGCCGTGGAAGAGGAGGCGCAGGAGAAGGAGGAGGAGTACGAAAGGGCAGGGAAAGGCAGAAGAGGATGAGGACACGGATGAGGATTTCATTTCTCGATTCGTCGCCGCTGGATCGCCGAACTGGATTGCACGCGAGGCTCGGTGTGTCCCATCCTGTTCCACGCGTCTGTACCTATGGCTTGCCTCGCTTGCGCAACACTATGACTTTAACGGCTGTGCAAACAGAGCCGCAGAAACGTTCCACAGGTTTGGGACAAGGGGACGCTGGTGCTGGACGCATTACTGGGATCGGCGTTCCGATTGAGATTGCAGAGTTTCTGCACGAACCATGTTCTCGCGTCAGTGTGGGTTACACTCGTGGTCCCAACGGCCACGATCCCTGGTTAAAACTGCTCCGTACTATTACTGTCCCCGGTCACGTTCGTGTTGCAGTAGCATTTGGCCCTCACCTTCCTGGTTGAGATGGGTCACGAACGCGTGTCTGTAGCGTCTCCAGGTCACAAAGTGACACTGTCATCGGAGGCCACGTGAGACCTCCCAGTTTGCGGACGCGTGGCAGGTCCATGCGATTGCCACCACGCGAGGCCTCCTGGTGCACGAACCAGGTCACGAAAGCGTGGTAAGACCATTGGGTTCTCACCGCTCGAGTCTTCCGACAACCCAGGTCACCAACGCATAGCAAGCCGATCTGATTCCTAATAGTTCGACCTTCCCAGGACACGCACCCAGGTCACTAACGAGCAACAAACAGCAACAAGCCCAACACATGTTCGGCGCCGTCATGTTTTAGGCATCTGCCGATACGGTTGACTCAATCCACGGCCCTCGGTGCAAAGCCTTTCCGCACGTTCTAGACGAGTTTGTGGTGATCCTTGGGCTCAGTTGTTCGCGCCTTGAGCAAATCGAGACGGTCGTTTCAGCGATCTTTGAAATTTGGGAATGCTCTGATGGGTCTTCGGCACGTCGGGAGCGGGTCCCGGTGCCCAACACGTTCCCCCACATTGGCCCCGCGTGGTTTCCGCGGCCACGCGCAGAGTAGGCTTGATGGGGAGCAGCAGGAGAGGAGGAGCAGCAGGAGGAGAAGGACGAAGGAAAGGGAGGAGGAGGAGGAGGAGGAGGAGGACCTTCGGAGCCCTCTCCAGCAGAGTGTGGTCCATTTTCGTCTCGGTCAGGGCCGTTTGTCGGGCCGTCGTTGTGCCACTGTGGTCAGGCGTGGTCCCTGCTCGGCGTCCTTCTTGGGTGTATGGGGGTCTTGTCGGACCGCCCGAGGTCCGCCTGGAACGGCCGTGGTGCCCTCTGCGAGACCTCTGGGCCCATCTCGGGTCTACAGTCAAAACGTTTATTAAGGACGCAAGACCCTTGGAGGCCGAAGTTGGATTTTTGGGGCGGGGGGCGGCCAGTGAAAACGGCGCTGGACGGGCCGCAGAGGCAAGGACTCAAGGGTACCCTAGATGAAGGCACGCGTCCTTACTAGGCGCGTTGACTGTATGTTGAGGGCCTTTGAGGGTTTTCGTATATTGTTGGTCTGTTGAGGCCGCCCGCCAGGGCTTCCAAAACTACCAAAGGGGCCCCAACAGGGCTCGACGGTTGCACGTCGCGGCGATGTTTAGGCATACTGGGAGTGTGGATTCCGAACCTCGCTTCCGTAGCCTTCGGAGGGACATGACGCAAGCCCAACACATGTCCGACAATGATAGACAATTCCAAAAATAGCGCTCGGGGATCTTGAAGGGCACTTGCAGCATCTAACCCAAAGAACTTCGTAAACAGGCCTGGGGACACTCGAATCAGTGACTCGCGGCACGACGGTGGATATGTTTCTCCTTGCGTTTTTGCGGTGGTTGCAGTGTTTGTCGTCCCCTGTTCAGGGCGATGGCGCAGGGTGCCTGGCATCACAGTTGATCCGCCACGAGGGGTGAGCTTCATCATGACGCCGAGGCGCGCGTCATATATCTGGTTGAGGGGAGTAATTCGTTGATGATGGGAACCAGCCTGGTGTCCGAAGTGTCTTGCGCACCTAGAGGTGCCTAGCGCACCCGAAACATCTGCCTTGTTTTCTGCGTTGTTGTTGACTGATGCAGTGCGCAGTTAGGTGCATGTGTAATGGTACGCCCCTTTGATATAGGGGTATTTGTTGTTTTCTCTGGGCGTCTTGGAGATACGATTCATCGTTCGAGGATGCGTACGGTTTATCAGCACGTTCTGAGTTCCACGGCGCGCGGCTGGACAGCATGGAGCGTTTGCATCTCAGCGAAAACATGTTCATCCTTACCAGCTTCCGTTATTTCAAGCTATGATCTATTTCTGTCGACGGCACGTAGGGCTGCCTCGATTCCAATTCGACAGCCAGCTGGGGCCGCGATCCCGATTCGATGCGGCGCGAATGACGGGCATCAGCTAGAGCCAGCTGGACTTGGGTGCGGCGATCCGATTTGGCTTCGAGTGGGGACGCTTCGCTGGTGATCCGCGTTCGCGATTCGGTCCAGCCCAGGCCTGCCGCAGCTCGAGCAGCACTCTCAGTGCGATCATCGCGACGTGTCCACTCATTCATGGTGTCGATGGTACCATTGCTGAAGTTGCCAGCGCGAGCCCACAGCTTCCCCGTCGTCGGAGCCGCAAGCCTCAGCGTGCTCAGAGACGCATGCTTGCCCCTGTCCCGAACGACGGGCACGGGCCTCACCACGAGGGGTTAGTCGAAGCATCGGCTGCCCGCCTTGGCGATTCGTCGTGTGTTGGGCCCCGGATTCGAAACAATAATGCCTTATGAACAGAAACGTTCGGAGCTCCGCGCGGATTTCTTGGATCTGCGTTGGGCCCCCCTCGCGGCGGCGCTTCCGGCGCCGCCTCTTGGCGCGCACCGCGCGCCAGGAAGGGGGGCCGAAGTGCGGATCCGAGAAACCCGCGCGAATCTCCAACAGTTTCTGTTTGTGCCGTTGTGTGTTCTTCCACGGATGTGGGCCAGGGGGGAGGGTTGACGTTGTCTCAAGTGCCTTCTCCTCCGAATCGACGAACATCTGTTTGGTGGAGTCAGTTGAGGAACATGTGGTACAGGTGATCTAGTGTTCTGGGTGTCTGAGCCAAGCAGGGAAGGACCACGAGCACACATGATTACATCTGGGGTGGGAGAAAAGGGAAATGATGAAAAGGAGTCCTAAGTGCGTAGAGGCGGTGGTATCTTAGGGTGGGCTTTTTGACCGAACCCGGCTGGACGTTTCCTTCTTCCAGGGATCGTTTAAACACGACGTTCACCAAATTGTCTCTTGCGCCTCCACTCCGCCGTTGCACCCCCCCGAATGATCGAGAGGAAACGGAGCGCGTCCCCGAGAGGAGACAGGAGAGGTGGGGGGCAAGCTGGGTGCGCTCGCGCCATGTCTAGCATCCTACCCCTCCCAACCATCACTTCCAATTGCTCTCATTCCCAACCAGTGGAGTTGGGTCCTTGCTTTGAAGAGACAGCGCCCCGCGTCCTTCCCGCGTCCTTCCTCCTCCTCCCGCTTCCTCCTCACATCCTGCCTCTGCCCTCCGCATGTCAACCACGTCCATCCACCCCTCGCACGCTTCGTACCCACATAGGGGACTCCACCCAAGAAGCCTAGCGGCAGTGTCTGCATGGCGCACCCGCACCCGACTCGGCACACCCTTCTCACGTTTCGTGGACCCATAGGGAGCTCCACCGAAGGCCCCAGTGGCAGGGTCCGCATGGCGCACCCGCACCTGACCCGGCGCACCTCTCATACCTTTCATAGCCCCATAAGGAGCTCCACCGAAAATTCCAGCAGCAGGGCCCGCATGGCGCACTCGCACCCGATTTGGGCACACCCCTCACACGTCTCGTGGCCCTGGAGGGAGCTTCATCGAAGGCCACGGCGCAGGGTCCGAAGGGCGCACCCGCACCCAAATCGGCGCGCCGTTTATACGTGCTGTTGCCCCACGGGAGCTTCTCCGACGGCCCCATCGACAGGGTCCGCACAGTGACCCGCAACAGAATCGACCCACCCCTCACACGATTTGCGGTCCCACAAACAAGAGGCCCCAGCGGCAGCGTCCGCGTGGCGCACCCGCGCCCGATCCGGCGCACCCCTCACGCGCGTACTGGTTCCATGGGGTGCCCAACGGCAGGCTCCGCACGGCGTACCCGCGCCTGGTTCGGCGCACCTTTCGCATGTTACATGGCTCCATCGGGGGCACCACCGAAGGCCCCAGCGGCAGGGTCCGCATGGCGTACCCGTGCCCGATTCGGCACACCCCTCGCACGATTCGTGGCCCCATAGGGAGCTTCACCGAAGGCCCCAGTGGCAGGGTCCGCATGGCGCACCCGCACCTGACCTGGCGCACCTCTCATACGTTTCGTGGCCCCATGGGGGGTTCCACCGAAGTCCCCAACGGCAGGGTCCTCATAGTGTAACTGCATTCGATTCGGCGCACCCCGCGAACGCCCCGCGAAGCGCGCTGGTCGCCCCGAAGGACTTCGAGCGACGCGCGCGGGCCGTCCGCGGCGCGGGGCTTGATACATCGGATTGCTGATAGTGGGCCAGTCGCCAGGCAAAGCGCCCAGCTGTCGGGCAGCACATGGAGGCAGAGCGCAGGGGAGTCCTCGCGACGCGCGCTGGTCGCCTGGAGAAGATTCCAGGGACGCGCGCAGGTCGTCCGCGGCGCGAGGCCATACAGGTGGGCAGTCGAGATAAGGCGATACTCGGGCGAGCCGTTTCTCGGGTCAGGCCTCGCGGATAAACCCCGCGAGGCCCGGTTCTTGGCGAGGCCGTCGCCAAACTATGATGACCCTCCGCTCGCCCATAACCCGCTGTCCTCACTACCCACGTCCCGGCCTTCCTGCCAGGCCCCCTCCTCCCTGTCCATTTGCCCCGCGATACTCGCTGCTGCATGCATATGGTTGAGTCCTAGTTCTTTTATCCGCCGACGGAAGTCTGAGCGGACGTGGACACCCCCCAAGCACATTTTTCGTATGGTGCGCAATCAGAACGGAAGCTCTCTAAATTGGACGAGAAAAAGGGGTTGCGGATGAGCAAGAAGATGAGCAACAGGGAGAAGCGAACGATGCGGAAGGAAGAGGACGAGGAGGCACAGCCGCAGCAGGAGCAGGAATACGAGGAGCGGGAAAAGCAGGAGGACCCGGGGAAGAGAATGGGGCGAGACGAAAATGACGAGGAAGGACTCGGATCCATAATTGTGGCCCGCATTGGGGCGAAACGCCATTTTGAACGACGGGGGCAAACCGTCGGTTCGAGCACGAGGCCATTCTTGCAGCGGGGCACCGCAATGAAACGCCGAAAGTGTTTTGATAATACAAAGTCGAAACGAAAACACTTTGTGGCATTTAACTTCGACACGTGCAAACAAGGCAAGTCAAGCGGCCGCGCTCGGGCTGGGCCCAGGGGTGAGAAGGGTAGTGTTCATACTGGGTAATAGTGGATGAGGAGGGGGGGAGGACGACCTCACCCTCCCGCCCGCGCCCCGCCTCTGTCACGGCCGCCTGGCCAGGAGGCTGCCCCAGCACAAGCCGCAGGAGATCTCGGCCATCGTGTGGGCCGGCTCCCGTGACAGCCCGGGCAGCTGGCCGCCCCCGCCCACCGAGGGGGGAGGGGCCGGACTTGGCGGTTCGAGGGTGGGGTTTTGAGAGATGTGGCTCGAAGGGTCGAGTCAATCCGTATTAAAAAGGATGCACAGTGTAGATGCAGGGGCCTTGGAAGGCATCTGCACCTGGTGAGATCCCCCGGCCCGATCGATCAGCTCCAGCTCGGCCTGCGCGCGGCAGTGGTTGCAGCGAACGCGGCGAGTCATACGCTGTACCCGAACGTGTCATCACGGATTATGATGCGGAAAAAACAGGCCGCTGCGCCTCTTACACTAATAAACGCAGGATCCTCCGCTTCCACCGCGCCGACACTAGCCTACAGTAGCTAGGCCCCAATTTACTCGCCACTCCTGTTCAACATCGGGCATGTTTATCTTTCTCGCCTCGCTTCGTCACACGAGTAGGGCATCTCCTTTCCGCAGCATGAACAGAGAGGATGCAACGACCCCCAGTGGGAGCAGACACTGTCAGGGTCACGGGAACAGTTTGGGGGTGGCATAGACGGGATTGCCAGTTGGATTAGGGTTCCCTCGCGCGTGCACGCTCTGATTGCCCTGGAGCGCAGCACCGTGACGGCGCACGGCCTGCACAGGCGAACGGAGGTACCCCGCTGCGGCGACGAGCACCACTGCCAGCATCGCAGTGGCCATGTCGTACACGGGGCTACGATGTCGTGCGCGGGGCGTCTCACTGCTGCACGCAGCCTCAGTCGCGCAACGGGTGATGTTGCTATGCGCACAGTAACCATGTCGCAGACACATGAAAAATGAACTTTGGCTCCGCAAGTCGCTCCGCCGGTTCTGGCCCCCCACGCTTCGTCACGACACGTGGACCATGACACCACTCCAAAGCGTCAGCATCCCGAGCGTCTCCCAACCAGCCCCGCGGAGTGGAGCGACCTGCCATGCCCCTTTGGGGCATGGCGTGTTGCCGTGGCCGCCGGCGCGACACGTTGTGCAAACGTATGTGACCGTTCAGCAGGTGCGAAGCGCGCTCGTGGCTCTATTCGATTCGTGTACGTATGTAGTTTCCGAGGGCGAACAGCCGCCTCCTCCGTTGTGAAGGGGGGACAATATCGATGTCAGTTGTTTCGTTGTTTGCTGCACACCTGGATCCATCCGAGGCCAGCCAGGGGTCACCATGAGATCATTGTGTGGCCACCTTCAGAGTCATCATATGGCCACATCGGCTTCACACCGAAGTCCGACTGAGAACGCCGGGGTCATATGTTTGGGACTGGTCGGCGTCATAGCGATGTCATGATTTGGCCACACTGATACACAACGGGCGTCGACTAAACATCATCGTGATATTAACGTGTTGCAGCGTTCAGGTCGGATGGATGAGATCGGGATCGCATTGGCCTCATGCTGGGATTATCCTATTGGGGCAAGTTCGTGGTAATAGTGAGGTGGTGTTGCAGTTTATGTAGTTCCATGGTGGCATCCACGTAGTACCATGTTGAGTTAATCTCCATACCATATTCGGGAAGTACGTGTGGTTAATTTGGTGTCATTTTGAAAATATTGTGAGATCATGCCCAGGCCATCTATGAGCCATTTCGGGTTCTGGGTAGCGGCACGCCGGTCATTGTGTAGTCTCAGCGAGGTCGTAGTGTAGGGAAATCCGAGATGCTTCGCGTAACCCCATCAGCCTATCCAGAGGCGATGCCCAGACGTATTAGTTACCCTGATCAGTGATGAGGCGGAGCGTGCACTGGCAAAAAGGGCTGAGGAAATTGTCATACCCCAATTTGTGTGAAAGAGAGTGGAAGGGGGAGGAGGAACCGGAGGAGGGGCAGGGGCAGGGGGAGGAGGGAGCAGGGAGGAAGAGGAGGAATAGGCAGATGAGGAAGTCGCGCCCAGAGGGTTGGTGGTGTTGGGGCCATGGCGTGGTCATGGTGGCAAGATGTGCAAGGAGTCTCGCTGAACACAGCATTCTATGAGACTCCGAAGTGTCAAAATCAGGTCGAGGTACGCAATCTAGTAACCAGAGGACACATATTCCTTTCATGTATTTCGTTTGAGTATTTGTAGTATCTTCTGGAAGCTTCGTTGGTTGGTGTGGGGGAGTGTCGCACGGGGCTTCAGCCCCGGTGTGCAGTCTGATAAGAGTCGCAGTGCATTGCCGTTTGATGTTGAACCTCGAGGTCTCGCAAACAGATCGGGGCCGGCGGCGGGCTGACCACTGCGAAGAAGCTTGTGAGTTGTATGGATGGCGCTCGAGCCTCGCAGCCCACGCAAGGCAGCCTGTGCGCTCGGTCTTTTCCGCAGCTGCGGGGCGCACATACTTGCAGCTCCGTCCCGGCGTCTGCGTTAACCGCGAAACGTTTTCAATGATGCACGGTGGTCCCCCCCAAAGCTCTGGTCTGGCAGTTGTGCGCGGGGTCGGCGATCGAATTATTCGCCCAGTATTGGTCGCCGTGCTGGCTGTTGTCGGAGGGGTCTATTTCTCCTGGCGGATATCATCCCTTGCGCTAACTGCAGAAGACAGGAATCCTGTGCCTGTTCGTACGAGCCTTCAAGCACGAGACTGGGGCCTTCCTCCTCTCTCCTTCCCCTCTCTCCTTCGACGACGTCGATAACGATGACGACGACGACAGCGGCGGCGACGACGGCGGCGGCGGCGGAATAATATGCCGAGCAAGTTTGTGTGTCGCCAGCCCTCCATTCGCCCCCCAAAAATAATCATGTGCCCAGTATTGGAAGGCAGGTATGAGAGACATCTCGCGGTTATCCGATGCACATCGCAGTCCCCTGTCTTGGTCAGTTTTGTTGTTTGCGTTGTTGCAGCTGCGGGGGTCGGCATTGCCCTCCGCTTTCGTCTTCAGTGTGTCAGTTTCTTGCTCCCCTCTTGCTTCACCCTGCGCACCTTCGTATTCCGGTGGAGGCGCTTCTTCGAGGCCGTGGCCAAGATCTGCATTTCTCGTCTTCGTGACTTCCCTCCCCAGGCTTGTCCCCATGTGAAGGGAAGGGGAGTGATGTGACCAAGGGGGACGCCAGGAGTAGGCATGGGTGATGAGGGAGCGAGGAGAGGAGTCGACCACACGTGAGTGTGAACCTTCGCCAGAGTGACAGTTGGTGCCGGCGCAGTGGGGTCTCCCGACCACGGAATGCGATGCGATATTTGCGGCTTGCGCGCCTGTGTTTCACCGCCCCCCCCACCGCCCCCCCAATGCCGGGCGCCAGAGTTTTTGCTTGCCCAGGGCCACCATTACGTGCAGCCGACAGGAGAAATGGCGGAACGTTGTGGGGAGAACGTTTGGATGCATCCAGACGTTCTCCCGGCAAATTGGGGCGTGCAGTCGAGTGCAGCGTAGTGTTGTCTACCGTACAGGCGTACAGTCGGGGCCCTGAAGAGGGAACCCTTTTCGTTGGGGAGGGGCTCCGCGTTCCTTAAGTGTTTCACAGCTTGCCACAGGTTTTCCTTAGGTTTTCGGTAGGAAATCGAAGTTGAACTTATGGGAAAAAGGGGCCTCGTTCCTTATTTAGGGTTCCTTAGGTCAACGCCCCGACTGTACTCCCACTTCACCCGCCGATCCTGCCCTGGCAGGAACGACGCGCCTTGGGGAGGGGGTCATGTTTGGGTTTGTTTCCCCCGGAAACGCGCGAGAGGATTTCTAGTATGTTCTCAGGAGGATTGCAACAGGGATGTGCGTAATTTTGATTCGCAGGTTTTCGTACTCGTAGTCGCCTTCGTAGTTGTGATCGTAGTCGTGATGGTAGTCATAGCCGCTAACTTCCGTAGGCGTAGTCGTAGCTGTAGTCGTATCGTGGTCGTCCTAATCGTCGTCGTCGTCGTTGTGCGGCGGGTGCCGCGGAGAAATAAACATGTCCATTATTAGCGGGATTTCTCAGTCCGTTGATCAGATCGCAGAAAAAGGTAACCAGTTTCCAACTCATGCAACTCCTGGGGGTGGTTCTACAGACCTAGCCAGGTTACGCCATGCCGTCCGCATCGCAACTCTTGGGGGCGTCTTGGAGCGTTCTGGGGAGCCTCCATGGGGCGGGGCTTCTTGGGGGGTTCTGGACGCCAGCTGGACGCTTGCCAGGGAGTTACTGGTGGTGTCGGCGGCAATCTTGGGTTGGGGAGTGTCCGGGTTTTGTTGAAATCCCCCCTCGGTTTTCTTGGAGGCAGTATTTGCCGTCCTGGGGCGATCTTGGGCCGTCTTGAACGCTGCTCAGGCCGAACAGCCGAGCGCATGATAATGTCACTCAGAAGGCAAATGGGTTTGATCGGTTTGGGTATCTTGAGTTGGCCCCCAGTATTCCCAAAACGGCCCCAGACGCCCTTGAGAAAGGCCCTCTGACAGTCCCTGTGGGTCGTCTTATATGGTACGTGGGGAGTGGCCGCCCAAACCACGTGTGCATGGGCCCAGGCAAAGGGGACCAATCACGTGTGGAGCCATCAACGCCAGGCAGTTTCCAGAATTTACGATGAATTCCGGGAATCAGGGGCCTAGGGCCTTCAAGTAGCAACTGCAATGCTCAATGCAGAACTCGGATGGGCCTGGGGACCTTCCATTGTGTAGCGGGCAGCTTTGCGCGGAGTGGTTCAAGCTTGGTTTGGACTCCGTATTGAGAACCACCCCGGGGACCCCGGCCGTCTTGGGTGTGACGCCAGGTCGACTTGACCTCCTAACATCTAGAGCAGTAGCTCTATTCTTCGACAGGGGCCCTCACCCCCCCGCCCACGACCCCTCCTGTCAGTTGCGCCGCGCCGTGTGCGTCTTGCGCACTGTGCGGTGCCTCCCGCGCCACGGGTGCCACGCCGCGCGGGCCGTGCGGCGACGACCCTGCGCGCCGCACTGGGCGTGCTGCGCCGCGGGCGCCCAGGCGTGGCGTGCCCTTGTGCGTGCCTTGTCTGGCCGCCGCAGTGGGCACCGTGTGTGTGCCGCACCCTGTGCGTGCTTCGGCTGCAGTGCCTGACCAGAGATTGTGTTTTCTACCCTCTGGGCCAGAACGCGCGTTATGCCCCCCCCTTCCCCCTCCTCCTCCTCCTCCTCCTCCTCCTCCTCCTCCTCCTCCTCCTCTTCCTCCTCCTCCTCCTCCCTCTCCTCCTCCTCCTCCCCCCTCCCCCCTCCCCGCAGTTCTCCCCGTCGTGGCGCCGCGCAGTTCACGCGCCGGGCCGTGCTTGGGCGGTGCGTGCCGCGGTGCGTGCGCGTCGCCGCGGTGCGTGCCGTGGCGGTGCGGTGCGCGTCGTTCCTCGGGGGCGGGTCCGCAGGCTCTGAGGTCCTGGCGTTGCAGTCGTTTCCCATCTCGGCGGTGAGCCCGGGGGGGAAGCCTCCCAACCTGGCCCTCCTTCCTCCCTCCTCCCTCCTCCTCCTCCCTCCTCCTCCTCCTCCTCCCTCCTCCCTCCTCCTCCTCCTCCTCCTCCTCCTCCTCCTCCTCCTCCTCCGCCTCCGCCTCCGCCTCCGCCTCCGCCTCCGCCTCTGCCTCCGCCTTCGCCTCCGCCTCCGACTCCGCCGCGGCGTCAGCAGGGGCCTGGCCGACCTGGAGGGGCGGGCCTCGGCAGAAGGCTCGAAAGTCCCCTGGCCTTCTGAGAAATTCCTGGAGTCTTCCTCGGAGACACAGGGCACGTCTCAGAGAGCGCGAGGGCTTCTGAGAAGCCCCGCCGCCTTCCGAGGAGGGTCCTCTCCCCCCCCCCCGCGCTCGCCGCCGGCCAACGGGCGTTTGCGCCAACTTTCTGGCCCCAGGGCCCTCACATATCGATCTGGCTCGAAGAAGTACGCAGAGAGATGGGGTTTGTCAGACGGGGCTGGGACGAGGATAAATCCGTTCGAGAGCGTTCTGGAACGCTACCAGAGCGTTCCGGAACTCTCTGAGAAGGCCTCGGCGCCCGAGACATTTTCAAGAGATCTCAGAGATTCTTGATTTATCCCCACCCGATTTTCGCCTCCTCCTGGCTTCGTCGTAGTCCCAGGGCTCGTGTCGTGGTTGTTCGCGCCGTTGGACAATTTTTGTGCAGCTTCGGATCTCGGCTTTTAGGGGGGGGGGGGGGGGGCGTTCTCGGAGGGGGGCGAGCCGCGCTTCTGGTCGAGCTTGGGGGGGAGTGGTCGGGGCGGCGGCGGCGGCCTGGTCCAGTCAGCCTGCCGACACGAGGCGCTCGCCTACATGGTCGAGGCCTATGGGACCATCGAGCAGGCCAGTGCTCCCCCCCCCCCTCTTGTCGTCGTCCTCCGCCTTTCCTTCCTCGTCGTCCTTCTCCGTGCTCTCCTGGCCCTCCTCGTCTTCCCATCCCCCCCCTTCCTCCCCACCCTGTCCTTCCCCCCATCCTCTCCCTTCCCTCCTCCCCACCTCCTCGTCTTCCCATCCCCCCCCCTCCTCCCCACCCCGTCCTTCCCCCCACCCTCTCCCTTCCCCCCTCCCGCTCCTCCCCGTCCCATGCTCCAACCTCCTTCCCCTTGACCTCCTCTGCCATCCTTCTTCGTTACAAATGGCTCCTCCTCGTCTTCCCACCAGGCGTGCCCGGAGGACGGGCCGCGTATTTGGTCCGAGAAGGTATTGAGGCTTGATCCAGCGATTCGTCCTTACAGCGATTAGTGCAAGCAGAGAGGGATGCGAATGAGTGTTGCATCGCCGCATGGTGTAGTATGAGTGTCGTCCCTCTCTTTTTCTCCCTTTTTTGCCTCCTGTCTCCGCTCGTGCATGCTTCCTCGTTCTGTCCATTCACCACAGCCGTTGGCACGAAACCGGTATCTTCTGAACGAGTGCCCGTGCGCTGATAAAACAACGAGTGCGCAGTATTCTGCTGCGTTGCCTTGAGATTGTCTATCCATCTTGGTTTGCAAACGAAGTGGGGGTTTCAAACTTGAGTTGTTTTTCCGTAGTGCCGCGCAAAAACATGTCTCGAAGCATTGACAAAGGGCTACCAGGGAGGGGGGGTACTGTCTTCAACACGCGTGCATCAGAAGCTTGCAACAGCTACACGTACCCATCGGGGGCGGACAGAAGCCCCAACAGTGACAAGTAGATTAGTGAATTGTCCGTGTTCGGTTCTCGAGAGGGCGCCGTGGCCGTTATTTTCCAGGCGTTCGCCCGCCAGGTTTGGGCCTCAGGTCGTTTTCACTAAACCACGTTTTACGAAAGGGAGGTCTGTCCATCCCCGAGTCGAAGACGCCTGCGGCGAATCACCGCCGCCCCGGTAGACGCGCACTGCAAGTCACACCGACTGCAGGCACGCTCCAGCTTCTCAGCGGAGATTCGAGCAGCGGTCTACAGTTAGGAAGACTACGACCCAACCATCGTGACGCTCCGCGAACTCCAAGTGAGCCACCCACACCAGCACAGCTCAAGAATATACTGGAAATGGGTAGTCTGCGTTTCAAGGTCAGAATGACCATCGACGCAGAGTCCGCCTGCATGTTCTACCCAGCAAGGACCTGAGGAAACCGGCAGAATGTGCATTACTCCGTCATAATGGCTGGATTGGGCAAATTCTGGACAGGGGTAGCGTACATAGTGCACAGTTGCGTGACACACGTGATATGACAGCCGATGGACATACGAATGGTAGTACAGATCGTGAGTTACTCCTACAAGCGACGTCAGGCATTCAGCCATCGAGACACGACCTGCAGAAATGCCCGCGGCGAGTCGGGGTGGGGGCCGAACAGGTAGTGACACCACCGTCGGTTTTCCGCCGGGGGGGGAGGGTTGAACCGGTAGTGATCCGCCCGGGTTTTCCGAGAGGAAGGGGGGAGAGGGGGGGTGGTTTGCGGGCGGGGTGTTTGAGCACGGGTTGGGGGGAGGGATTTTCGGAAGGTGGGGGGACCCCTGGGTTTCGGAGGAAGAGGGGGGGGACTTTGACTTTTCCACAGCAATCCGCCAGTGGATCACGCTCTCTCCAATATCAAGACAGACGACCCAGTCAACCGTAGAATGGAAGAGAAGAAATCTTGGTGTCAAACATGCCTGAAGGAGTGGCTCGATCTGAGTCAAGCAAGTATTTTGATCCATAGTGTCGGCGGCACTCGAGTAGGATCGTGCTCTTCTGCCGCTTGGTGCGTGGAGGCTGTGACGCGCCGCGGTTCGATGGAAAGCAGTCGCCTGCTCAATTTAGCTGGGAGTTTTGTCAGCAGCCCAGTTTTGTTGCGCACCCTGGCGCACCGCGGGTGGGTCGTGAGCGGGCCTCCTCTCTCCCCGTTCTCCGTCGTTCCCCTTCTCCAGGCTTCAGTGGCCTGACCTGGGAAACAGACAGCAGGAGGGAGGCGGGAGGGAGGAGGGCGAGGGAGCGAGGAGGCCGGGCGGGGGGGGGACGCGCGAGGGCCCCCGCCCCGGCGCGGAGCAGGGCGGCCCGGCCTCTGCGTTCTCGAAGGGCATGATACGCGAGAGCCTCGACCGGTTGCACCAGGACTCGGCGGAGGGGGGCGGGGGGCGGCGGCTGGCGGAGGCTAGGGGGGGCGGAGGCTGGGGGAAGGCGTGGATCGACGACCCTCAGGACGCGCCATTCAGCAGGATACAGCCCCCGACCCTCATAGCAGAGTGAGGTCGCTGCCTCACTCAGGTCCACGGCACTTAGGGATGTCCCTAATCATATGGTTGGTCTCGTCGGTTCCAGGGTCAGATCCCCCCTGCGCAGTTGATGGTTTCGTTTTCCCTCCTTTCTCGCCGCGTCGCGTTCTCTTTCCCCGGCCCTCTCTCTCTCTCGTTCTCTCTCCCGCTTCCTCCTTCTGTCCCTCGCTCTCTCTTTCTCTCTCTCGCTCTCTTCTTCCCTTCTTGTTTATTTCTCTCTCTCTTTCTGTCTGTCTCCCTCTCTCTCTCTCTCGCTCTCTTTCTCTCTCTCTCTCTCTCGCCGTGCCCATCCACCCCTACTTCTCGGGCCGAGCGAATGCGGCGACCCCAGGAGCTCGCTCGCCAAGAGTTCGTCTCGGATTCGGCTCTTCGGTGGAGCTTTCCAGCGCGACCTCAGTCCACGTGCAGTTCGGGGGGGGGGGGGCAATTTATTATTGCTGCCCCCCCCTAAAGGACGACCACGGCGACTATGACGACGGTGGCGACTGGGAAGATGAGTGTCTTTAATAACCCTTGGGGCCTTCTTGCAGACGCCTTTACCGATGGGACCCGAGTTCAAGGCACCATTACCAAACGCACCCTTACTAAGGATCCGTACGAACGGCAACCTCACCGAAGATCCATGCCGAGGACCCCTGATTGATGGCATCCTTACCGAGGGCCCACTACTATAGGAAGCCTGCGAAGTGAATCCACAACACAGGGATCCTCACTGAGGGGACCTTTGCTACAAGGCATCCCCACTTAAGGGCCCCTCACTGACTGGATCCTTGTTAAGGATCCCTTGATGGCGGCCCCTCGTTGCTAACGGACGCGGTTCTGCACGCATCCTCATAAAAAGGTTTCTCGCAAGGGATCTTGTTTGAAGGATGCGCTTACAAAGGGGAGTATGTTCGAAAGGCCGATTACGTAGAAATGTGGATAACGCATCTCCAGCACGAAGCAGGGCTCCCACTAGAGATTCCTCATCATTGGACCCATCCCACGACCGAGGCCCGATCCTTCAGCGGAGACCGCGCCCGTCCACGCAGCCCCAGTCCAGTCCAGCCCCATGGTCTGTAGCTGTTGGCCCCTCCCACCACCACCCCACGCAGCAAATACTCAGACGAAGGAGCCACTACCACCATATAGGTTTTTGAATTCTAGGCCAGCTGCAGAAGGTATCCGCAATACGGGCCCTGCACTTACTACAGGGGGAGCGTTATTGAGAGGACCCTCGCGTATGACATCCCCATTGAGGGAGGGGCGCACACAAACACATCCGTAGTAAACCAAGGTCAGTTAACAAGATATCCTTGCCCAGGAGCCCGCATTCTCCTTCAGGGCCCCTCACTCATGACAGTAATTATTCGTAGAAGGGCATTGCTGCAGGGGTCCGTACCGAACGGACGGTGTCCTCCATAAGGATATGTTACGCACGGCATCATTATCAATAGACGAAATGACGCATGCGCGCTGACTCCTTAGCACAGGGGGGGGGGCTTACGCAGGGGATCCGTAACAAAGGCATCCCGTCCGTATCGCGGGCCCCTTTTGACAAACGGCATCCATCGTATGGAACCCTTACGCAAGGATCTATTTCAGAGGATCTTGCTACAGGGGTCCTCCGTTGAGGGGGCCCTGAAATAAAGGCATCACCAGTAAGACGTCGCCACTAAAAGTATCCATACTAAAGGCCCAGTGGTAAGATATCCTTCCTCAGGAGCCCGCATCCTTCCCAAGGAGCCACTACTACATGAAGAAGTCGTGACGCGATCAGTATTACAGGGTTCCTAACCGACAGGGCACTTGAGACAGGAATCCCCTCCTGAGGGGGGCCTTACTAAACACATTATCGCGACGGATCCTTTACGAAGGGATTCGCAACAAAGGGCCAGTACTAAACGAAGCATGAACAATTAATCCTTTCTACAGGGGTCCGTATTGAAGGGTTCTATTTAAGAACAATCTGTACGAAGGATTCCTCACTGAAGAGATCCAGATTCAGGACTGCTCATTTCAGGGGTCCTGACTAACGAATCCTCTTGCAGGACCCACCACTGCAAGGAAACTCAGGGTCCCTTGGTCACAGGCACGCTTACGAATGCAGATGTTCAGACAATCCCCCCCTAAACGAATTATCACGAAGAACCCCTCAGACTTTCGCAGAGGGGGACTCGACCATTGTACCAGTCTCGTACGATACATTTGCACAACACCATATCCCTAACATGTTTGGCCCTCCCAACGTAGGTCCCCCCCAAAAGGTTGGGGGATACTTTTATTCTTTAGGCTTGCGCCACACCGCCGACCCCTTGTTGTGGATGTTGCACGGGGGACCTTACGCACGGAGCAGAAGCCCCGTGCACATTTGAAGCAGAAGCAAGTGGAACATCATCGAGCGGCGAAAGGAGCTAAAGTGGTGTGCAGAAGCTGCGAGGAACTCGGGTTCACAGCGCGCAGTTGCCAGGCTTATCAGTGCAGCGGCGCGTGCAAGAGAGGACTACCAAAGTCGGTGTTCCCCGACCCGCACAATGTCCCGCGCGACGCAAAGAAGGGCACCCTAAAGTGCAAGACGTGCAAATGATGCCCAATCGGTTGCGCGTACTGGGCAGAAAAGGGAGGACGGGAAGAGGAGGATGGGGGGTGAGGCGGAAAATGGGGGGGAGAAGCATCGGTGAGGATGAGCTGAAGCGGGGCAGGAAGAGGAGGAGGGGAACGAGGAGGAAGTGTAGGAGGAGGAGGAAGAGGAGGAGGAGGGGGACACTGAGATGAGGCTCCGGGTTATGGGGCTGGGCGCGACTCGAAAAACCGGTGTGTTCGGAGATGTCCGTTGGGATCTTGCGGGGGGGCTTCTTGCGGGCCTCTTGGAGCAGTTTCGAAGGCTCTTGGGGGCCGTTTTGGGGCCTCTTTGTGGCTTCTTGGGCGCCTCTTGGAACGTCTTGGGGGCCTCTTGGGGGGTTCTTGGGGCCTCTTTGGGGCCTCTTGGGGGCCTCTTGGGGCGTAAGGCTGGGTTTTCCGGTGCGTGGTCTCTCTCTGGAGCCCCTCTTGGGCCCGTCTCCGGGAGGTTCTTGGGCCGTCTTGGGCGGCTCTTGGGCCGTCTGGGGGCTCTCTTGGGCCGCCTTGGGCGGCTCTTGGGCCGTCTGGGGGCTCTCTTGGGCCGTCTTGGGGGCGTCGTGGAGGCCTCTTGTGCCGTCTTGGAGCAGTCTTGGGAGTTTCTTGGGCTGTCTTGGAGCGTCGGAAGGCCGAAAAGGCGAAAATGACGAAAACATCGAAAAAACAAAAAACACAAATGAAAATCAACGATGTTGGCCTCTTGGGGCGCTCCTCGGGGGCCTCTTGGAGGTCTCTTGGGGCGTCTTGGAGGTCTCTTCGGGCGTCTTGGAGCCCTCGTGGGGCGTCTTGGAAGCCTCTTGGGGCCTCATGGGCGCTTCTTAAGGCGTCTAGGCGGACTCTTGGGGCGTCTGGGGGCCTCTTGGAACGTCTGGGAGGCCTCTTGGGGCCTTCTTGGCCCGTATTTGGGCCCTTTTGGGCCCGGAAGAGCGTCGTGAGTCGCTCGTGGTGGGCACCCCCCTCCCCCCTCCAAATCGACCGGACCGGGTTCCCGGGGGAGGGGTTTGGGGAGGGGGAAGCATCTCACACGCCGATGACCCAAGGGGTCGGCGGATTGCTTATCAGCGTGTGCTAGCCCTGTGTGTGTTTGTGTGTTTCCCCAGCGGCGGACGATTTACATATCCAGGCAAACGCACACCTGCCACTACATATTTTCCACAACTGCTCTGACCAGGGATCGTACGATGGCGAGTTGCAGCCGTCTGCGTTACGCAATTCAGGCCCACCGGCGGCACGCAGCGCGTGTCGGTTCTCATGTTTTCGTCGTATTGAATGGCTCTGATGAACATGCACGCATTGTCGCTAGCACGCGTTCGGATGATCATGGATGGGGGGAGGAAGAGGTTGAGTAGGAGGGGGAGGGAGGAGGCAACAGCAGCAGGCGGGAACGGGAGCCAGGAGTTGGCGGCCAGCGCCATTTGCCCTCGAGGAGAATTCGTGCGGTTGCCCCCCGTTGCCCCCGCCCCCTCCAGCCATTTGTCTGGCTCGGATCGTGCCCTCGACGCTCAGGAATCGCGCTCTTGCTCTAGCTATTTTCACGACTTACTTGATAATCGCGCTATTGCTTGAGACCTCCTCGCGATTCATGCAGGACTCGCGCTTCAGCAACCCGCCTGCTCGACCTTGCCGCCTGGGCCCGCCTTTCCGACCCGCCCGTCAGGGCTTACCCCCTATCATCCTGTCTGGCTTTGCCACGTGTTTTCTGCTCCTGACCCCCCTCCTGCTAATCTCTCTCGTGCTCCATCATTCTCCATCCCCTATCCTTCTGTTCTGTATTCCCTGTTTTAGGGGCTGCGGCAACTGCACGTGGCAGGTGAGGAAAATGTACCCCAAAGGGGGTTCGATCGACGACGAAGAGGTCGGGTATTGAGGGTGTGGGATCTGTGTGTTGAGTGGCGTGTGCGAGCATATGAAAGCGAACAGCGTTAGACTGTTTGGATTTTTCAACACCGTTATTGTTGACCCTCCTCTCTGGTGCCCATTGTGTTTTTTTCAGTTGAAGTGATCCTCCTGGGCACCTACCTTCATTTTTACAAGGGGAAGCCTGCAGGCTCAGATTGGGTTGCTGGCCCCCAGTTTACAACAGCAGCGGCTCCCCCCTGACACGCCCTCACAATTTATCGATTTGACATTCCTTTCACTTCATCAAGGAGGATCGGCCAGTAAGAGCAGGTAAGAACAAACAGTTTCAAAATGCTTGCTGTCGTTGATTATTGTCGTGGTTTACTCCGCGATCCACCCGCGACCCACCGCGCGACCCACCCTGCTCCACCCGCGACCCACCAGGGACCCATTCGTATCCGCGACCCGCGCCCGCGCCCGCCTCATTCGTATCCGCGCCTGCGGGGTGCTGCGTACTTTTTCCGCTCTGCAGGTTGGGCGACCGCGGTGCGCTCGCCCCACTGGCCGCAGACCCCCCAAGCAATCGCGCAGCTCGGACGTGTCCCTCCGTCGGTCGTTCCTTGTTCCTCTCTAGGCCTTTTAGATGGGATCCGACTAGATAGGGTCGGAGGAGCGCGCCGCATCGCCGATGCATCGGCGATGCGGCTCGAATTGGAGCCCGATTGTCTTCGCGCCGACGGCGCCGATGTATCGTCGACGTCCCCCATCTGCATCGGCGATGCGGCGTGACCAGCCGACCCCATCAACTCGGACCCCATCTGGGAGGCCTCTGCACTCCCTCCCCCCATTTCCCGCGTGCTGGCTCCGGCGCTGGCCAGTTCGAGCTCTCCGCGCTCACGCACCTCCTGGCGGGGGTGGTGCAGTTCACCCGGAACTCGGAGCCCGAGGGCGAGTCCGGGAGCCAGGCGGGAGGAGAGTGGGAGCGGACGGGGGAGGGTGGGGAGGAGGATGGGGTTCACTCCCCATAGGTTGAAGGAGTCCTGGGGGCAGAGAAAGGACAGCGGGGTGGGAGTGGCCATCCGCGGAGAGACAGTTGCTCCCCGCCTGGACTTCCATCCCCCAGGCAGGGCCAGGTGAGCGAGGAACGCGAGCATGAAAGACAGCAGAAGTCTCGGGGGAGAATATTACGGAGCAGCCCCTGTCTTACCCTCCCAGCGGCCGTCCTGGGCGGCCTTCGGGAGCAGGAGGAGGGTAGACTCAGCATCGCGGAACATGCTTGGGAGGTCCCCCTGGGTGGGGGTACCGATCTTCAGATATCCGCTTAAGACTCTGAGCCCCTTTAGGGGTGGGAGAGCACCTTCCGAGTTAGCCACCTGGGGTCAGAGGTACCAGTCTTGCCCCACGCGGTGCAGAAGGTGAGGCCGTACCGCCCCCAGAAGCTGAACCGATGGTTGGGGTGGAGGCTCTTACCTCCTACCCCTTGGGCCCTCTGGAGAGGGATAACTTCATCTCCGACGGGGCACGGCTGAGGGCGGCAGCTTTGATCGAATTTCTCGTCGCGAATCGAGAACAGCACAAACACAAGAACTTGGGCCCGATCTTCTGCCACTCGTGGGCGGACGACTGCCAAACTCGGCCCAACGCGGGGACGGGAGGGACCTCGGGACGCTCGGGACGCGACGCGGTCCAGGGATCGGCTTGGACTGACTCCTATGGAGCTCTGCGCGCCCGTCGGCGGATCAGCGCCGCCTCAGCATCCCTACGATCGGTCTCTGAGACAAATCCTACAGTGAATTCGCTCCAGTTTGCTCGGGTGGTTTTACCAGCAAGAAGGTCGGTGCACTCGTTGCCGATGGCACACAATACTTCGCGCTCGCTGGAACAATCGATGTCTTCAACCGACACGTGGGACGGGACAAATTCGACAATGTTTCCGCGCCCTTCCCCTCGGCAACCCTGAAGATTCTGGTCCAAAGGTCACCGTTACGTGCATGACCCGCGCACATGCCTGGGGACCAGACCTTGGGGATGGGGAGGTGGCCGGTTATATATCTCAATTCTAGACGCTTCGCGTATCCCCACCAGCCCGTCCAGAAACGACGCCCAGGCGAGTAGAGGGTCGTCCTGAGGGGCTTTTCGGCGTCTTGGGTGCCTCGGGGGGGCCTCTTTGGGCCGTTTGGGATCCTCTTGGGGGCCTCCTGGGGGCCTCTTGGGGCCATCTTGGGGCCTCTTGGTGCCTCCTGGGCGCTTCTTGGGGCCATCTTGGAGGAAATCGATCAAAGAAGAGGGGAGCTTCAATTAGCGCTGCCCCCTCAGAAGGCCAAAATGGGGCCAAAACCTTAGTAAAATCAATGATTTTGGCTTCAAAGAAGAGGGGAGCTTTAATTAGCGCTGCCCCCTCAGAAAGCCAAAATGGGGCCAAACCGGTGGAAGAAGAAACGCTCTAAACCACCGACGCCCAGAGGGCTGGTGGGACTTGCCAGTGGTCATCTCTAGGGCCTCAGCGAACGCGGTGGGCTCAGCACGGGTGACAGTTTGGGACTTCCCCGAGACAGTGGTCGCAAAACCCGCACAGGCTTCCCAGGCGAACGGGCTCCCATCGAGAATCGTTATCGCTGCTCCGACCCTGCGGCGCCGAGGGCCGTCGGAGAACGCACCCCCACGAACCATCCCCATCCCGAGGACGCAGACAAAACCCTCGGCATCACGGGGTGCGAAGGCGAAGCAGCCAAGATAATGAGTGACCTGGCTGCTTTTCTTCATCGAAGACAGAGCAGGTGCCGGCTCGGCTAGGGAGACCTCTTTTGCCAGAGATTCAGACTTCATGGTTGACGCGCGCCTGCTCCATCAGGCGGGAGCTGTCGCCGTAGTCCTTGTGACCACAGTTCTTCTGTGTGGCCGCACCGTCGCAAGTGAGCGAGACCTCGTATCCAGCAGCTCGGAGGCGGGGTCGTGGCCCACCATGACGTAGGTCGTCCGTTGCCTAAGGCTGTGAAGTTTTGCCGCAGGGCATCTTATCGATCGAGCTCCTGACGTCGTCCAATATCGCCGAGTAGTTGCTGGTCATCTCAGCAAACTTGTCGTCGGAGGCTGGAGGGATGAGCCGCGAATGCCCGCAGTCTGTGTCCCACTGCGTGGCCGAGGCAGGGTCCCAGTTGAGGTCCAGGAGCGCGGCGATCGCGGCGCTGACAGGGCCCTTGACGATGCGCCACTTCCTCTGTCCAGCACGCTTGAGTTTCGGCACGACGATGTCCCACGCCTTCTGCACGCGCGGAAGAATCGCGGGGTTCCGCCGCCAGAGGGTGACCCATGCCGAAAATTGTCGCGCGCGGGCCGCCTCGGCGGGGTCGCCGTCGCCAAGCGGGGTAGCGAGGATGGCGGTCAGGCACCGCCCTGGGCCTTTGCCAGCGACGGAGCGGCCAGCTCGACGGCGAAGGTTGGTGATCTCGTGTTCTGGGACTTCCATCTGCCGGTGCCCTTACAGCGCCTGCGGCGAGCTGCCGGTGCGCCGCGGGCCTTGGGAGGCGCGGCGGAGCTTGGCGATGCGTCGGACCTTGGCGATGGCCTCGGTCCTCTCGACGGCCTTCTTCATTCCGTCGCGGGCCTTCACCCGCGCGCGGGCACGACTGGCAGCCGCGTCGCAGCCCAGGTCAGTGGCAGTCGCGGCCGCCCGAGCGGAAACCCGTTGCTTCCTCAATCCCTGGGCCGTATCCTTGGACATGGCGGTGGACGTGGAGGCGACCGCAGTCCTGTCGGAGATTGCGAGCCCCGCGCCGCGCTGCATCATTTGCCCAACGTAGCCCGAAGTCTCTACCAGCAAGTCGGCGACTGTCTCGACAGTGCCTTGCGCGCGAATGATCACGTCATCAACGAAGGTCCTCACCATGATGTCGCGCCGAAACCGAATATAGGCAGCGTGTTGGAGAAGCCCGAGCATGGCCATCGCAAGCTCGCCTCTGCGGGTCGACCTGGCAACCGGCGGCGCGGTCGGAGGGGTCTCGCTGGGGGCCCAGCGCCTCTCGCGGAGGCGCCGCGGCGCCAGGGGCATTTGGGGCCCCAGGTCCACGATGACGGCAGTGAAGCCTTGCTCGAGGCCTGCCTTGCACAGGAGGGGGATGGAGACGCCGCCGTAGAATTCTTCCAAGTCCAGCAGACATGCGCCGCTGGCCACCGAGATGTGGCGGCGGCGCTCGCCCATGCAGCCGCGGACTAGCGCTGCTTGAAGCGACTGCGAGCCGCTCGAGCCCCGCGAAGCGGCGCCCCGGAGCTCCGACAGACCCTCGCTCCGTCCTTCAGCCAGCGGGAACCTGACTCGCGCTCGATCTGGCCGTGGGGCGAGGCCAGCTCTTGGCGAGCTGGGGCAGGTAGACGCTGGGCTTCTTGCGGCTCCATGGCGTCGATGCCCTTCGCTTTCTCGACGTTGAGGCGCCCCGCGACTCCGTCGACCCGGTCGACGGCGATGGGTTCGTCGCCCTCCTGATCGGCCGTCTGCAAACCTCTCGCCAAGCATTGCCGCGTCGGTCCATGATCTGGCCCGGCGCGGCGCGGGCGCAACCTCGCCGCGTCTCGAGCGCCCGCTTGCCGAAAACGCGACGACCATCTGCGAGTGGCTTGCTCGCGGCCCCGCTCAGAGAACGCTCGGAGGTCTCGATGGGGCCAGGGATCTCGCTTTTACTTTTCTGGCCCAGCATGGAAATAGCTGCCACCCAAGAAGCGAAGACGCCGCTGGTGTTCTGCTGGGAAGGCTGTCGAGGGCGACCTTGCGAAGCTCTTCGATCTTCCTGCTGAGCGCCTCTCCGGGCGCGGTGGCGAGCGTCTCCTTGCGCGGCATGGCCTCGCCACCCGCGGCGCCCTTCTGCGAGCGACCAGTGGGCGTCGATGGCGCGCCCGTCGTCTTCTGGCCGTCCTTGGACACGTTGGCAATCGTGCGCTCGAGACGCCCTCCGCGGAAATGAGTCTCGGCGAAGCCGAGCGCGTCGTTCTGATCAACCCGGGCCTTCATAAACCCCCCAGGGCGCGGGCTCTGTTCAGGGGCGTTGGCGAGGTAGAAATGGCCGTCCAGGTTAGGGGCCCGATGCGCGCCCGCCGCCTCGGCCGCCAGCCCTGCCCTTGCCGCCAGCAGAGCTGCGGCCGCGGCCGGCGTCGGCAGCGGCAGGGGCGGGCCGCGCATCAGCCCTTGCAGCGCGCTGTTCAGCGCGCTCTTTGGCCGCTGCGATCGCCGCGGTGACGAGGGGCCCTGGCGCCCGCCCTGGCCCGGGCGGCGTCGGGGGCAATGGCGGCGCCCGAGGCGGAAGTGGCGGCGCCTGCCGGTGGGCCGCCCCCATCGCCGCTGCGCAGGCGTTCGGCTGGGGCCGAGCGGATCTCGCGGGCGGTCGCGAGCGCGGCTTGCAGCGCCTCCCGGAGCGCCTCGACCTGCTGAACGTGGGCGCCCATCTGGGCCGTGAGGTCGCGGAGGATCTCCTGCTGGCCTTCGTCGCGCTCCTCCAGATCGTCGGCGAAGTCAGCCCCCTTGATCGCGAGCAGAATATTAGTGCCATCGGTGGTGTATTATCATTCTGGCGGGGGTTGGGGCAGCGGAGCTCATGCCGAGGGACTGACATAATCGCGCTGGCTGTGGCCGCTCGGGCCGCGATGGCTTCCTCGGTGGCCACCCGCGCGTCGTCCTTTGCCTTGGCAAGGGCCGCCCCGTTGACGACGCGTGCACCGGCGGCCCGACGGAGAGCAGCTTCCTGCCTCTCGAGACTGTGCGCCGCGTTGTCGACCTCCTGGTGCGGAGTGCGCTGCTTGGCCAGGCTGGTTGTGCAGGTGCTCCGTATCTCCTCGGCGGCCTGCGCGGGGCGTGCGAAGGCGGGGCTGGCGGCGACCAGCTGGAGCATGCCGACTGGGTCAGCGGGCTGCTTGTCCTCTGCCTACGGAGGTTGCTTCTTGGACAGAAGGGAACTTTCACATCTTCCCCAAGAGGTTG